ATAGAACTTCCCTACGCACAGTAGATAAAGAACTACGAAAACTCGCGGCGAATCGAAAACGTTCGCATTCTGCCCGGCTAGCATGCCCCCGATCGACGTTCTTAGAAACAACCGGTCGCTTAAGAAGAGAAAAAAGCCACAAAGGAAAGAGAAAACAAAAAGAACAAAAATAGAGAAAGAATGGAAGTAAGGAAAGCGTCACCGCATTCCGCGCGTTTCTCGATAACGAACGCCGATCAGCCGCCGCGTGTCTCATCTTCATATTGCGGTGTCGTCGGGGCTCTTCATCTTCATGTGGCGTGGGTCGATCGGCATCGGCTGGTATTGCTGCGGCATCACGGGGCCACCATTGCCGTCGAAGCTCCCGTTGTGGAAGTTCCGCAGATGTCGGATCAAGCTGCAGCGTTGCGTGAACTTCCGGTTGCAAAAGATACAGCAGAACTTCCGTCGGACGCCGCACTCGAATCTGACGTGGCGCACAAGGTTGCCCTCGGTCACGTAGGACCGGGTGCAACGTGGACACTTCCATTTGCCGCTGGTGTTCCGGATCTTCCCGCAGACGGTGCGACGATGGCGGTTCAAGGTGAAGATGTGGGTGTACCCTTTCCCGCAGCTGGAGCACATGTACGGCTTGTCGGTCTCTGGGATCCAGGCCAGCGAGCCTTGAAACAACATCATCGATGAAAACGACGATTGTAACGTCTTTTTAGGAGAGTGTAGATTCGCGAGTTGAAAGGAGCAGGACAGAGTGGACTAAGCGTGGAAAGTGTAATTTCAGAGTCTAGAGTAGTAGACCAGAATATATACCAGCGTGGAACAGCATAGTATTGCGTAAAATAGATTAAGATACATAGTTTAGTTTAATTCTAGTCACTTATAGTCCATTTAAATAAAAATACAAATATTCCAATCCCATATGTGTGTATATATATATACAAAGATATATATATATATATATGTATGTTTAACTATACAATCTCTATACAAGACCGAGGAACTCGAAATGAATATACTTCGTCTATGTCCAATCAAAACAAAACTGTTCACTAGTCTTCAGTGGTGATGAAATCTTGATTAGCTATGAAATCTTCAGGTGCTAGATGGCTGGTGCTCCGCGATGCGAATCTTCCAAGTCGTAATCTTCAAGAGCAGAGAAATCTTCAGGTGGCAATACGATTTTTCCGATGCAACGGATCTTCGAGTGAACACAGGATTGCCAAGAACGTGCGACTGAACCCAATGGAGCCGAAATTTCAATGTCCGCGGTATCCAGCTCGCCGAAACTGTGCTTGAACCCAGCCGGATAGAGAACACTTGAGATCTTGGTGCCGCCATTGTTCGAACACCGGCCAGGCTCGACCACCTAGAAGAACATTAACAGCACAGTCGCGATAGTCAAGAATAAACGAGTGTCACCGTCACGTTGACCCTGGTCCATCGCGTAACTTCTATCGCCCAGGTAGATACACCCCTGAGGCTGACTCGCGGGTGATCCTCGATCGACTCGACGAGATTCTGCTACAAATGGAACTCTGGAAATCATACTTTCTGAAGGATTGAGAACCGTCCGAGAGACGAGTTGAACCGACCTGACGGCGGTGGAGTGTATAGAGCACATTGAGAGTAGCTTACAGTTAGGAAATGTGTTAACGGGGAAGCTAGGGAGACGGTGATCCCAAGACTGAAGAATTAAAGTAACCTGCGTTTGAACAGTGATCTTAAAGTCACCGATGCTCGTTTTGTTTTCAATTAAAAACGAGAAAGGATCGTAGTCGAAATAGTTAGGACACCAGGGTGCTCTATCGTCTATAACATCAAACTAGGCTCCATCCCGTTGACGACGTCGATCTTGTGGATCGCTGTCAAATGTCGCTGTCGGCTCCAGCGGCGCGGCGTCCAACGAGAATTCGCCGAGGCCACCAAATCTAGCAACCAACGAGGCATTTGACACCAGGAACATGGACGTTCTGAGGAAGAAGCAGGAGCTTGCGGAAACGGGACTGCAACGACCCGACAACGCAGTGCAGCGTGGAAACGTGGTGATGTGGCGAGCGCCATCAGGCCCCCGGCGATGGGAAAAATTTTCACGACAGGATAACGCCCAGCGACGAGTCAACGGGGTGCAGCGAAGGGATGATGGACCACAGCAACGACGGAACGACAAGCCCCAGCAATGTGAAGCGCAGGATGCAGCTCCAGGAAAGTGCTGTTATAATTGATATACGTGGCAGCAAACTGTCCGACCAGGAAGATACCAGCAACCGAAGAGAGCTTGGCAGTGCGACGGACGGCATGTACAAAGTACGTGAAGGAGGTATTTGTTTGCGAGCGTGTGGTAAGCGCCTTAATCGGCAGCGAGAACAATGCTCATGAAACCGATAATGTGAAGAGTTCGTTGGCCAAATTTGCATCACCAGTTAACGGTTCTAATGTCGCGATTACGGAACCTTCCAAGAATTTATCGAACAACGTCGATCTCAGCGACCGAGGACAATAGTAGTAAGGAACTAGGGACTATTATCATTCGATTTCTGTGATGCCGCGGTTACTAGGAGGAGTTGCACAAACTTATTGAATGAGACTTCTCTCTTGATGCCGAGCACGCCTGTAAAAACTGAGGAGAGAAAATTGTTAGCGACGTTAAAGTAACTCCAAAGGTAGATAGCTTAGAGGTAATCATCACCCCTTTGGTTGAGAAAGAAGTTGAAGACGTTAAGTCCAATGACTATGTGGACGCTTTTAGTTGTAATTCTTTGTCATCACGTATATTGGTGGGTAAAAGCGAAAATAATAGAATAACGGTAGGCTAGGGAAAGCGCAGCGAGAGGACCCTGGTATTAAAAAAATATCTGAACTATTAGAGTCTGAGGGAGACATACTCCTTGCGCTACCTAAGTCGATGCGGACACAGGTAATTAAAGGTAATTAAACGGACATTTCGCGTCGGAAAAAACCGAGGCCATATTGAAGAGAGATTATTGGTTCCGAAATGTGCGGGAGAAGGTGGACAAAGTGCTACGAAACTGCGTTGATTGTATTTTAGTGGAGAGAAAGCGAGGTAGACCGGAGGGATTTCCATTTTTCATAAGCAACGGTGAAGTGCCGTTAACAACGTTTCACGGCGATCACATAGGGTCTCTCCCAGCAATGGAAAAGAGATACAACAACAGTTTTGCCATTATAAATGCGATTTCAAAATTTGTATGGCTTTATGCCGCGAGAAGTTGTATTTCAACCGAAACGATCAAACTTGAAGAAAGTCAGTTCTTTTTCGAAACCCTTGGCGAATTATACTGGATAGTGACCACTACACAAGTTGTAGTGACACCGAACGGACCCTACGATATCTGAGGCCAGATATACCTACAGGATGGCCGAGGGTGGGGTGCGACACGTAAGGTTGGATACCGCAGGTGTACTCGGACCGCAACGACCAGGTCACTTGCCCTCAGATCGTTCGGGATTAGTATTTAAGACGATTGTAAGGTCTTTTTAGGAGAGTGTAGTTTCGCGAGTTGAAAGGAGCAGGACGGAGTGGACTAAGCGTGGAACAGTGTAGTTTGAGAGTCTAGAGTAGTAGATCAGAATAGACCAGCGTGGAACAGCGTAGTATTGCGTAGAATAGATTAAGATACATAGTTTAATTTAATTCTAGTCACTTATAGTCCACTAGTCTTCACTGGTGATGAGATCTTGATCAGCTACGATATCTTCGGGTGCTAGACGGCCGGTCTTCCGCGATGCGAATCTTCCAAGTCGTAATCTTCACGAGCAGAGGAATCTTCAGGTGGCAATACGATCTTTCTGGCGCCCCGGATCTTCGAGTGAACACAGGATCGCCATGAACATGCGACTGAACCCAATGGAGCCGAAATTTCAATGTCCGCGGTATCCAGCTCGCCGAGACTGTGCTTGAACCCAGCCGGATAGAGGACACTTGAGATCTTGGTGCCGCCATTGGCTCGATTCGAGTTGACAAGCCGAAGGGCCAGGCTCGACCACCTAGAATAACATTAATAGCACAGTCGCGTTAGTCAAGAATGAACGCGTGACACCGTCACGTTGACCCCGGTTCATCGCGTAGCGTCTGTCGCCCAGGTAGATACACCCCTGGGGCTGACTCGCGGATGATCCTCGACCGACTCGACGAGATTCTGCTACAAGTGGAACTCTGGAAATCGGACTATCTGAAGGATTGAAAACCGTCCGAGAGACGAGTTGAACCGACCCTACGGTGAAGGAGCGTATAGAGGGCATTGAGAGTAGCTTACAGTTAGGGAATGTGTTAACGGGGAAGCTAAGCGAAACGGTGACCCGAAGACTGGAGGATTAAAGTAACCTGCGTTTGAGCGGTGAGCTTAAAATCACCGGTGCTCGTTTTGTTTTCAATTAAAAACGAGAAAGGATCGTTGTCTAAGTAGTTAGGAGACGGGGGTGCTCTATCGTCTATAACATCAAACTAGGTTCCATCCCATTGACGACGTCGATCTTGTGGATCGCCGTCAAGTGTCGCTGTAGGCTCGTCTTCTGGGTAAAACTGTAGCTGCAGTAGTAACAAGGAAACTGACGTTTGCCGCCGCACTCCCATTTCATGTGCCTCCTCAGGTTGCACAGCATCGTGTACGCACGGCCGCACTGCTGACAAGTGAACCGTGATCTCGGAAACCCTGTTCAACCGAAAGAAAACAAATCGACTGTCAGTGGGCGTGGAATGTTTCAACCGCATCGGGATGATGCATAAATTAATTACATTCTGATCGAATCATTGTTCTTTCTCTGAGAGCGTGGAAGTCTTAGGACCGACGGTAAACGTGTCTGTCGGCTAGTGTATTGTCCGCGATCTACAGCCACGTCTACTACGCAGATCGGTGAACAAGTATTTGCCAGCCTCGTGGTTCGCTCGAGATCTTCTTCGATTTTGTTTTCAACATTCTTCTTCCAATGGGCGACGAACAGCGAACGCCGCGAGACTGGCAGCGACTTCGACTACGCGAGCTACTCATAAGCAGTGACTTACTTTCACGTGTGACGATTTTGAGTGGTCTTCCGTGGTGACTGAATGATAGATAAGAGGGCTTTCTATCTACGGTTCGTCTATTTTGAATAAAAATGTATGTGTATCGGGGTGGGGAGAGACATTCGTCGGGACTCCATTTTCTTTTTCTTCTGTTACAAACGGTAAAGAAACGAGAACGGACCATGAGACACAAATACACGCGAAGAAATAAATCGACAATCGACGCCGGCTGCGAAAAGATCGTTTATTTGTTTCTACACGACGGGGAACGGGATCAGGGATAAAAATGTTCTCTTAGTTCTCGACATTCGATAGAGGATCGTGGTGTGTTCTAAACCGCGGGATGTATCTTCTCTGAGGCACCAAGATGTTGTGGTATCGAATCAGGTGTTTCTGAAGCGTCGTGTTCTGCGTGTACTTCTTCGGGCAGAGGACGCAGGAGAACCTTCGCTGGCCGCCGCACTCGTATCGGATGTGCCTCGTCAGGTTGTGCTTCAGCGAGTACTTTTTACCGCACGTCAAGCATTGAAACTCCCTATCTTCAGTGACGTCCATTGCCTCTACCAGCGGGATCTTCATGGAAGAGAAATCGGTCACCGCATACCTCTCGCAGAAACCTGAAAAAAGAAACGTTCGTAACCTGGTTAGAAGTATCGAACACTGTTCTCTCTGTCTTCGATTAAACATACTCTGCTCTTTCTTCTTAAGGGGAGGTATTTTTTTCTGTTTGTTTTAAGGAACACACCGTGTAGAAATCTGCTCCTGCGAGAATCTTCTTCTTCGATACTTACCGGGAGAAGTTTCAAATTAACTAGAACCAAGTGATTATAATTAGAACTGCTTGTCGACAGCTATTTCCCACGCAAATGTTCGTGCTTTTTTTCTGGTTTCTTAAAGTGTCTATTGCGTTTTTTAATGGTCTTCTTGGAAATACGTACAATTAATATATATTCTCTATCGTGGTAGACAGAAATAGGTTTCTTCGCGTTTGTACCAGAGATGCGACTAGGCAACTGATAAACGTGATTATTTCTATCGATTCTCGAAGGCTGCCTCTTATGTGGACCTTTCTTTTCTATTCTTGCGTGTGCGACGAAGAGCTGGATGAACTCGATGGTCTGTTTTCGTGGCTAGATTGCGAGAACTGTACAAAGTATCCTCCCGATAGAAGGACTCCAGTTACTTACCTTCGGGAGAACGTCGGCAGAAGTTTCTTTAAAAACATCGATGCAAAAAGATGATTATACACAATGAAATAGTGCAAGCATACACAGATAACAATACATATCACGTGAAGATATTCATGGACGCTGAATAAATATTAATATATATTAAAGCTACCAGCAGTAAGAAAACAAAAACAAGTAAAACAATCCACCAGTCAAATTTATTAAAACTGTCCTCCACGCTTTCTAAGCAAAGGAAGAACATAAAGCATAAATTTCACAATATTTAAAGAAAATATTGGCGAATAAATTGTGCGGTTCCGTGCCTTACCCACGGAAAACATAATTAAAAGGAAACTAGACCTATCTCATCCGGAAAAATACAAATCCTTCCGAGCATCGACGACAACGTTAAGTGCGCAAATACGAGAGAAAGAAACGAGAAGAAAAGGAACATTGTTAAAATCATTCCACCGGCAATCCCTGTTTAAAAATAGAACGACCGAGGAATGTTCAGTTCAGTGAAAATAGTCCTTATGCTTTCTTAGAGAAAACACATTTTGAAAATTAATCCGCAGACAGGTTCCTCCCAATGATCAATACGATCCTCGAGAAAGTTTCAGTGCCTCGATGGAAATCATATTATTCTGTATTGTCGTCAGGTTTCTATGTGTAAGCAGTTCTCATCCACGTTTTCCGCGGCGGAACAAAGATGTTGTGTGCGTTCAGCATGTGCTGCCTGAGCTTCCCGTTTTGCGTGTACCTGGCCGGGCACAAGCTGCACGCGAAGTGCTTGTGTCCGCCGCACTCGAATCGCAAGTGTTTCACCAGATTGTGCCGCATCTGATACGACCTGCCGCACTGGTGGCACGTGAACGCTTCCGTGTTCCTGAAGTAGCCGTTCCTCGAGCCTCGGGCAGCGGCTGACTCTGAAAAATAGAACGAAAAACGGGACATCAGGTGTCTGGGCTCTTTCAGTCGATCATGTACTTAGGTGGCGGAGGTACGCAGCTACGGGTCACCATCACAAAGTTCGTGTTACCATGAGAAACGAGAAAGGATCTGGGAATTGTATTGCACTCTTTATTATTTCGCGACAAACGTTTAACAATGATCATACATCGTGGATACCATCCAGATATCGTCTGAAAGACATTCTCCCCCGGATCGAATCATCGTTTCCGCGCTTCTGGAACCTCTCCATCGTCGTTACTCTATGCTTTTAAACCTAATAAAATTCTCAATAAAGGAATTAGTGAATCAGTGTAAAACGGAGGATTCTGTATCATGATTTTCACAAGCTCGGTAATAATGTTCGCTGGGAAACGAACGCGTCATTTGCATCGATGCACTGAATCCGTCGTGAACGTAAAGTCATAGGGAAACCTCGTTTCCCAGTCAAAAAATGCTTTAGCGTCGAAATAATGAAATAAGAAGGTTCAAAATGAAACAGTAAAAAGAATGTGATGCTCGTTTCACGACATTACCTCGCTATATGCAATCGCTCGGGCCCGCTGAGGAACTTATAACGAGGTTCGTTCGCGTTTCTGTTCCTCTGGCGCAATTAGCGCCGCCTGTTGCCAGGAAACGGAATAACGTAACAGCTTATTCGCGTTAAGGTACAATATAACGGGGGGACACCCTAAAATTGTTCAGGAACTGGAGATGCAAGAGGAACACACAACGTTGTTCAGACGAATTCTTTCTGCTCGTGTTCACGAGAGAAAATACGTTTGGGGACGGAGAATTTCGGCGGCAGATAGGTATTGTGTTTCTGGAGTAAATGCCGGCGAAGGCCGATATTCTGCGTGTATTTCGCCGGGCAGATGTGACACGTGAAGTTCCTCTGGCCGCCGCACTCGAACCTCATGTGAGTGTTCAGGTTCCGCTTCATCTTGTACGTGCGGCCGCACTGAGGACACTTCAGCGGCGTCTCCGGCGACGCCATGTTGTGATTCCTTGTCACTTGACTCCTGTACACGTGGCTCTTCCTGAATCCTGTAAAGAAACGGGATAACTTGTTAGTGAAACGATCGAGATTATTTAGATCCGATGAACCCAAAACACTCTCAAATGATTACGACTGTTTTTGTCTCCCCGGCAATGCCTACGGATAGTACATTCATTACATTACGATTAATACAGTCCACTTAGTCAGTCAGTTTATTGCGTTTAAAGCCTAACACAGTCTATGTAGTACAATAACTTGAATATTACAAGGTGGACAGAAAAACTGAAGCTTATCTTGAAAATTGTCCAGAGTGCCACGTGTAGTATCACTTAAATGGTGATTTATTCATACGATTTGATCGTAGTCTCGGATACTCTGTAAGTTAACAGGTGTACATGTATTGCTTTGTTCTTAAGTCTTATTCTTAAGTCGTACCTCCTTTGGCAATTCGTGGCAGGCCACGTCATGTGATAATAAACAATATTTTGTGGGATGGGGAGGTTTTGGCGAGGACAATAATCTTAATGTATTCTACGCAATACTATACCGTCCCACGCTAGTCTACTCTGCCCTGTTCCTCTCAACTCGCAAAACTACACTCCCTTAAAAAATGTCTTGCAACTGTCTTAAATACTAATCCCGTCAGCACGGGGCATGATTCTGCAGACCGTCATCGACTGGCTGGGAACAATATGATATTGTCTACATATAGAATAGTCTCTAATTATTTGTAGAACATATCCCTAGAGAAATTCATTCATAGTACCTGCCTATAACGATAGTCACTTTGTTTCACGTTTTTACGTAGTCACGCCGCATATTTACTCATTAGTCTCATTCCAAGCTAAATGAAAACAGCTGTACACAAGAGAAGGACAATAAACCATCTATCCAAATAGCTCTCCCATCAAGCCTACGTAAATTAGAATTTGTTGCAACTGAAGCATGTAACAGGCCAAACACATTCACATAGATGACTATGTCAAATGAAACGTCCTCTACACGACGATAACAATGGGCATCGTATCACATTTCTTTATCTGGAATTTTCAACTTATCATAGTGAGCATTAATTATTTTTATAGAAAGCATCATATAAACAGGAAGTGCATTTAAACAGCGAAAATACTCTGATCGAATAATTCAATCCTCTGTTAGCTATTAAAGCCAACTGACGCGACACCGATAGTGCCTGTGCCACAAAAGGGACCCGAAAAATGCGAACTTGCGGTCGCAATCGGGACAAACGTATTTCTTCTTCCTCCCTTTGTCACGACCAGATCGGTCTCCTCCACCGCGGACTGTTTGCCGCACTGGACAGTCTGACACGACAAAGACGCCATCAGCGTGAAATTTCAGTTGCAGTCTACGCAAACGTACTTCCTCGGCATCCATCGGCGAGTCATGTCCACTTTGACCCTCGAAATTGATGGCAGCGCAGGCACCGTCCAGTTCGACGAGCTCTATTCACCTGGAACCAAGAAAACGAAAGGAATACGGATTTAATTCGATCGTTAACCGTTGTTTTCCGCGGTAATATCTAGATGGTCAGCGTCATCTGCGAACGAGAAGCGAACAAAAAACTGCCATCGGCGTAAAATACACAGTATCTTTATTTACAACAGAAACAATCCGGCTCATCTACATCGTTCGATGAACATCTCCCGTATCGGGGAACACACGCGGATTCGTCTTTGGATATAAACAATTCATTGGAACCCTGTTTGATCATTCGTAACGTAACATGGTAGAAATTCTAGAAAGCGATCAATGTTGAAGGTTCCTCGGTGAGGATCCTCAATGTGAAAGCGATAATGAGTGAATCGCAGTAAAGCCTGGGCTAACCACGACAAACCTGAAGCGATTCAGGATCAACTGTGACCGATTCAGAGTGAACTGAAGTCAAGGTCAACCGTAGCGAACCAAAGGCAAACGAAGGTTCACCAAGGTATGTCGAAAGTGACCAGCGAATCACAGTAAATGAAACTTGGATCAAGGTCGTTTAGGAAGCAATTTAGGAATCTTATAAATTCTGAGTGAAGTCGTGATACGATGGGAACATGGTTGCCTGGACCTCCCCGTGCACGTCCAACACCTGTTGGGGGCCGTACTGCGCGTTCTGGTCGAGGAGATGCTGATGCCTGGCCAGGATATGCTTCATCAGACTGTCCTTGTACCTGGTCCGATGTGGGCAGAACGCGCACTTAAACTTTGGGTCGATTCCACATTCGAAGTCGTGGTGCCTCTTCAGGTGGTGTTTATGCTTGTATGTTTTCCCACAGGTAGCGCAGGTATGTTTGAACACCGAGGTGGGCGGGTACTGCTCCACTGAAACAGACAACACAGTATCCTCGTTAGTCGAAAACGGTAATTACCATTTGCGAGTCTCGTTTCCAGTCTACAGATGTCCGCGTTGAACGATTTATACCTTGAAGAGTCGCACGATTAACCCTTTGTACTCGGTGATCTTTTCTAGACGATTTACCAACGTCAAACATGTCCGTTAACGATGCCACTTGTAACAAAATGGTGTATCTTCATTAAGATAAATGATTCTTTCCTTTAAATGAATGTCGTTTGCGAGACTATAATCTCTTGGTCGTTGCGATAAAATAAACTTTTCGTCCGGTTTTATTTACGTTCACGATGTTTTCTCAAAGACGACTGTCGAATGCAAAGGGTTAATGACAGATAGGGGCGCAGGATGAACAAGAAAAAATGAATGTGGGAGACAGCCTTTCGGTACGGAACATGACAGATTTTTATTTATACAACTGGCCATCGACTAGCGAGAAGTACGCTTAACACACTCGTACACTCAATTCCGTTTACTGTACACGATGAAGCAGAAGCAAAGTATCGGCGATGCTTCAGAAATCGATCGCCTACTCTGCGAGTAATCTTCGAGACCCGCGGTCTCGTCCTTTTTCCTCGGGTAAAACAATGATACTCCATTGACGAGTATCTCGTTCTGCGTCTACCGTTCTGATAAAAGTAGCAAGCGAGTTACACCGAGATTGGGGGAGGAGGGTACTAGCGCGATTCTTGACGCTTCAAAGCGATATCAAACGATATATCGATACGTCGACCACTAAAACAACATACACAGTTTTCGTGTTGTTTATTATACGTGCATAAAACTTTTTATTCCTGATCCGACGACAAGTTACTGATGAAAACATTAGGAAATTATGGATACCTCCTTAAAATTAAACGTCTCAATTATTTCTGATGGCACTGCGGAAAGTGATGATGTTCTTAGAAAGCAATAGTTTGATCGATATCAAAACAAGTTGAACGATTTATACCGTAACCTTGAAATAATCTCGAGTGAAACGTAATTTCCCGATTTACGGGGGAAATGTTCGAGACCGTTTCAAAGTCACGATATCACAGTTCGTTGGAATCGTTTTGATAGAATTCACAATGCTAGGTTATAACAACATATTAGTGAGGGATAAATAGCGGTGATTTTCAAATGACATTTACGGTGATCTTAGAAGGACCTTCTTTTCATTCTAGACATGTTTCCTTGCTTCAATAGCAGGAGAGATAATTTCGATGTTCGGGTCAAGTAGGATACCCTACATATAAATGAAGTAGTACAGCTACATAATATCGTTCTGTAAATATAAATATGGACCCATCAAAAAAGTCTCCTCAAAGCAAGTCAATAGAAATGTCACTTGTTAAGTTAAAATGCAGATAATATCCTTCGACTGCAGCGAAACACCATTTTAACGTCACCTTGACCACAAAGGAACTAGCAAAGAGACATCTAACGATTTAAAAGAAAGAAAATTTCGTTCGCGAGCAAAGAAAATGGCGCCGCTTACTCTGCCGTCGTTTCAACTTTGTCTCTGACGTCGCCATTTCCTTTCCAATCAAACATCTATCGCGGCTAAAGGAATCACTCGTGAAAATCAATTCATCGAAAACATCTCATTTCTAAAAGAATTGGACACCGAACAACTAACTTTTCGATCGCAATGACCAGCAACATCAAGCGCGGCTATCAGCCGAGATGAAAGGTACAGCGGTCCCCCCCGTAACGTCGCGGAATTTGTAAAAAATAAAAAAGAACAAACGAGTCCTCGCACGCCACGAATGTGCTACATAATTTATATCACTCTATCATGCTCTTGCCCACTCTTAGCAAGATCTTACAGAGAACGAATGTCGCGATCCGCGGAACGGAACCCGCAAACAGAACGTTCGCGAGAAAACATTTGAGAAAAACACTATCAAGTATGATAAAGTCAAACAAACCATGCCATTCGTGTATGTACCTATTCACACTAGTATCTCGCTCAGTAAAAAGAAATCACCAGCAAACAATAGCGAAGACGAAACAGCTTTCACTCGTAGCACTAATCCCAAGTGTCCCGCTGTAACCTCTAAATCGCGATCTTACGGGGTTCGAGACCCTAACCGAGAGATCAGGCTGACACGCTCGCGCATGGGTCCATGTAATTCTAACCCAACAATCAATGCCGTATCACCGGTCATCACTGGAATGACAGAATTCACGCCAAAGGGTTTCGGTGCCGCCTGATGGGCGTTGTCCGCGGTGTGAAGCCCTGGCGCGCGTGTTTCATCATGTGCACCTGCAGGTAGGACTTGTAGGTCGCTCTATACGGGCAGAACGCGCACTGGTGCATCGGCTGTTTGCCGCACTCGTTGATCACGTGCCTCCTCAAGTTCTTCATCTGGTGATAGCGGCGGTCGCAGTTGTCGCAGGCGAACCGACCCTGACCTCGGGACCTCCTCCTGTCCTCTGGCACGCTCACGAAGAACCTCATCTTCGCGTATTCTGAAATCAGTAAGAAAACGAAGTGTCCCGGTTAATTCTGTGGCCAACCGAGGTATCGTCGTGCCTCCGGCCGTCCACAATCTTTTCGTGGCCAATGTCAGGGTTGTTTCGTCTAAACTTATCGCGGCAAGGAAGAAAGCTGCTTTATAGGGGATAAAGGTGACTGCCTGGGCTGCGAAAACAAGCAAACCCAGGCTGGAATCGTGGTTCTGTCACATGCACACGCCGTGGATAGCACATTCATCGCGGCGGTCGAATGAACGATGTTCATTCTGTGTACAAGGTGAGAGTATAATTGTCCTGTTGACGTTCAGTCTGGTACATCTGGTACTTGTGAACCAGCTGAGACTGAACGTACTTGTCGACAGTAGAGGTTACCGAATAAGGAATACACGGATGGACTGTTCGATATTCGATATACTCTGCCGCTCTGTCTTGTTGCGATGTTTTCACTGGCATTCCTGAAAACAGCCTTCAGCCATCGATCCAACATATCCTGGTTCCTCGATTCCGAGAACTTGACTGAAATCGATGTTAAAAAAATTTATATTGCGGTATTGAGTAACGTCCGAAGAATCGTTTTTTGCAAGTTTACATAGCTTGTATAATTAGTGCACAAATCAATTAACGAAGTTGAACATTTGATTGCATCGTCAAGATCTTGAGAACCTCTTAAAAACCGAAGATCAGTTGTTGCAAACATAGAATGTATATGTATATATATTGAACAGGGTTACTCGAAGGATACTGCAAGTTATCGTAAGAACTGCCAGTGCACTTCCTTCGCAAGGGAAAAGTCTGATTCTCAATGTTACGTTTTTGTCACTTTATTGTATAGGTACTATAATAATGTTTCGTGCCCGGTCAGGCTGAAGCTTTAATTATAGTCGACACGTTATAAATGAAAAACGTATTAGCGAGAAATCGCGATCCTGATGGCTGAGTTTGTTCCGTTCACTCGCACTTCCGGTGATTTATTGTCGGTTTCCGCTTTCCGAGGTAAAATGGAGATTGTTTATATATATATATTGATTCGCTGGGTGAACAGGTTCAACGATGGAAGACTTCTATTACTCGTAAGGTCTATGGTCGGGCTTTGGTTTTTGCTAATTATGCGAGCTCGTTTTGTGCGCGATTAATTACGGAAATCAGGTAACCTTATTAATACTTGCGGCAGACCGAGAATCAGAGGTTTTCGACCCGATTCTCGATCGTATGGAAAAAACTTAGGTTCTAGTGCACGTGAGTTTCTTGTCGGCTGCTATGTATACATTTCGTGATCTATGTAATTATCTCTGATCGCTTCTCTGGCGAATTAACTCTCACGGTTACAATACTTTGCGGGTGTACTTACAATACGCATGACGATGGAGGCATTCGTGGCGTTGTGAAATAACCAAGTTCTTTTAAACACAAAAATGCTATACATAGATCTATGTATACCTAGTTATATTCCTCGTCAAATATATTACATTATATTCTTCACCAAAGAATCATAATCACCATTTTCCAAAGCAAACTTACTGGAAACCAGGTTTGTTCTTTGTAAAAGAATACGTAACACGACTATAACAAAAAGTAGAAGCATATACGTTGCATATGCAAAACGAAAATGAATCTATTCAATCTTTTCTCCCAGCAATATTTCTCATTCAAGACGATTAAAATAATTTCGAAGTCAGCGTTCAATTCTTACCCTACCAACGCAAATGATGTTCACAAAGGAAATTCTCTAGATTAATTTCTAAAACAAACCACCGATGTTCGTACAATCTCTGAAGAAACGAAATAAGACGCGGAGAAGCACCTCGAATCCCCCGATCGACCAAGACAATACACAACTACCACCTCTCAAACAGACAGAACAATTAAGAAGACGAAGCTTTTACCATTGCACTTCAAAGATACAAGCTAAACCGATCCCTAAAGACGATGCACTGCGTTACGTTCCGACGTGTTGTAAAAATATATGCTATCGCGTCTGGGACTGTTTCGTAGACTCTCTACGAAGCTCTTTGGAGCGCGAAATGGCGTCGAGACGGTAACCAAACGATTCAAACAAACATCATTGAATGAGACTAGTTCCCAGCATCCATAGACGAGGACACTTTGTTCCCGTTCGGCATCGCGTAGAATTCGCTGAGCAGCTTCATGTGTCTGCCGTTCAGGTGAGTGTTCAGGCTGGACTTGTGTTTAGCCCGGTAAGGGCAGAGCGGACAATGGAACTTGGGCTCAACACCGCACTCGTGCTTCAGGTGTCTGGCCAGGCTGGAATAGTAATTGTACACCTTGCCACAGTTCTTGCACGGATAGGTCACCCTCTGGCAGTTTAGGAACCCTCCCGACGTCCTCCCTTCTGAAAAACACGAAACCCAGAAGAATGGAACATTAGAGACGATCATTGGACCAATGGGACACTTCGGTATCGGGGCTGGGTTTCACTGGCACATCAAAACTTCCGAAGTTTCTAACTTTCATCAACTTTATTTTCAAGTCTCTCTCAGTTTCGCTGACCGAGTCTGGGACCCGCGAGAGGCTACGAGTCAAACTGTCGCGGCAGAGGACACGCAGCGACCAATGGGCTTGGTTACATTACTCTCCGCGCAAGCCTAATAGCGGTCCCAGTCTTGGTTGGCTAACCTGTATTCCAAACATATTTCTCGAAATATTTCCTTCGAAATGATACTTGAAGGGTGGTAACGTTCACAGCGAAGGGATCACGTTAGAATGAGTCTGTCAAAGGCAGTTTGGGATTGCTACTGGGGAACCATGCAGATTTAGAAGAGTTAGCTGGTAGCAAATGTTGATCCTCCTGGGAAATCCTTCTGCTTGCTACTGCTGATTCTCCGCGAATTCTTCAATCGGTTACAATCGAAGCTCTCCTTGTAATGTTAATAATTTTCGAATCGAATGTATTTGTGTTTGTACAGTGTACCAGTGGTGATTTTATTTACAGTCGTCTCGCAGAGACATCGAATGGCGTCGATTTAGTGAATGATTCAAACAATATCACAGAAATGGTTCAGGAGTCTCACGCGGCGCCTGATTTGATTGTTCGATCATGCCTCGAAATCGTTCTGCGAGAATCTGCCCGTTAGAACCGGGATCCCCCGTTTGCTGTAACGATGCAGAACCGATTTTGATATACGGTAGATGTTCGCCGCCTTCCGCAGCGACAGACCGTTAGCTACCGCCTCCACCGCAGTCTTCAGCTCGCGTTTCCCGTACCGCTTTCTAAAAGATATCGACCTCCGTTTCCGACGACAGGGTCCTGCAACACAAGTTGATCGTTATTATCATCGAGAACAATTCTCGCCGATCTCCAATCTGGATAAAAACGAGAAATAGGAAAAGGGGCGTTTCTAAGAAACGTTACGAACACTGTCGTCCACAAGTTGCACTGGGGGTCCAACAAAACAGGAAGGAATTTTTCAAAATGCTCGTATATTATTACTGACGATCGATAACACGCAGCAACGAAATCGATTGATAAGAATCTATTCGTTTATCACAGTTTCTTGCGAGAATGACAATCAGTGGTAACAGATCATCGCCTAACATAGATCCATTATGTCTCTGTCATCCGAAGATTGCGGCGTCAATAATTCACTCAACGATCGTTGAGTCGCACTCGAAAGGAATGTTCCACTCAATGTCAATCAACTTCAACCTATGATTCACGTGATTCGCTAAACGTCTGCGTGGATCCTCTTCACGTGACACTTTAGATTCCACTTCCGGTTGGTCCGGTAGCTGCAATAGGGACAGCACTCAGCCTTCCTCTGTCCGCAGAACGCTTTCATGTGCTCGATCAAGTGATGTTTCCAGCGGTACGATTTCGAACACTTGGAACACTTGTGTCTGCCCGCGACGGGATCGCCGGTTTTCGCGAACGTTCCGTCCCGATCCTCGCGTTCACTCATGAAATAACTTCCGCCGTACCTGTCCGGCCGGAACTCTGGATCGAATACCTGATAATCCTCCCAAAGGACCAGTTCACCTGAAACAGAATTCCGACACGTCATTGACCAAATTTGACACTCGCGTCCAACAGCCTCAACACTGCAGAGGATCGTGCAACCGGGCGATAGAAGATTTTTCTAGGGTCCCGTTTATTCGGCTTACATTTTTAGAACGCCCCGAGAAGGCTCCTGGGTGACCGACTGAAAACGGAAAAGGCCACACAGTTTCGACTCTCGTTTTATTCTGGGGATGATCTTCAGGTTTATTTGTACGAATATATACAAAATGCCGAGAGATACCGGACTCGGAACGCCTGCTCTTTCTTTCTTTTTCGTCGAATCTACGGAATTACATTAGATTCGTTAGCTGCAGGAATGAAAGGAATAGTCTAATGTAGAATCTACGTATAAAAAGAAAGATTCTGGAACGCTGTCCCTTTAGACGACAACACTGTAACCTAGATCTGGTTGTTGACAACCTTAATCTACTCGATAGAAAACGATCGGTAATCCTTTTAACTTAACAGTAATCTCTTTTCCTCTCTTGTTCTTCAAGAGAAACTCCGTGCCTCCGTTTCAGTGCATCCTGGTGATGTGTTTCTTCAGGTTCGACTTCTTGTACGTGCGGAACGCGCAGTAAGGACAACACTCTTGCTTGTCTTTGCCGCAGAATATTTTCTGGTGTTCGACCAGGTGTCCCTTCCTCTTGTAGCTCTTCCTGCACCTCAAACAGGTGTACTTGTAGTCTACGGACTGTTCCTCTTGCTTCTCATCCCTAATCGATTGCGCGTTATTCATGTTCTTCCGGTCTTCTTCCTCGTCATCCTCGAAGTCGTCGGTCAAGAATCGACTGCCCTCTTCCTTGATGTCTGTTTCTTCGTGAAACGCGTCTAGCACGCCCAACGGGTCGTCTGTCACGCCGCTTTCGTAGAATTGTAACGCATCTGAAACAAAGGTAACCAGAAATTAGTTTGGAACCCTCGGCGATCGTTTTCGACTTCCGTCGAAGCGGCCCGAGTAAAACGAGAAACGTGTTGTTGTTTCTTTTTCAAAAAAAAAAATCAAAAAAAAACAGAAACAAAAGAAATGAAAAAGGAGGAAAGCTTTTTTCGTTCGATAAATCACGCCGTGGAGAGTCGGATATGTACACAGGTAGTTTTATTTAAAAAGCAATCGACTGCCGAACATCGGTTAGACAGGGACACTTAACCGCTGCGTAGTTATAGCTGCTCAACCTATAGATCTACGGATCTATCGAATCGGATAGATAAGATAGACTAGATCATCATGCATCGTAGACAAGCGACTCGTACATTATTTCGATCTAACATTAATAACAAGTACGACTCCCCGGTTCACGTTCTGTACGACAATACAAAGAATGAGATGAGATGAGCCTGACATTCACTACTTGCTTTTAGCGTTGGCTAGTCTTCGACGTTCCACGGATCAACCGCGACCGAGGATTAATCTATATGCCTAACTCGCTTCGGAACAGTTTTTTAACGCTTTAGCCACCTTGGTTCACAGAATTTCTTCTATATATTTCAAAATTAATTCCTTCGATGATACATCAACAAACTGAATTTTATTGGATACATGAGATGCAAGAAAATGAAGAGAACAATCGTTGTAAAAGATTTTTTCAGCTTCTGCTTCGTCAGGAAAATTGTCTTGATTGTATAAGTAACTGAATGAGCGTCGATTGGTGGCTAACGCGTTAGAAAAATGTTCCCCGTTGGAAATTTGAGCTCGATACACTTTTCCAACGCTTTTCTCAACAATATTGATTACAATAACGTTATTATTTACAGTGTCGTGAATTTATCTACATTTTAAAGGAAGGTACGGGTGACAAACGGATCTCCCGAGTGAAAATCCGATTCTCCCCGCATTAGTATCAACGGAAGAGCCAAGGACGCGCGCTAAACCGTGGAACGTCGGGTTTGAATTGAAACCGTCGCGTCGATCGCGATTTCTTCGATCGCTGCTTGCCACGCGGTTGCGAACGGTTCCGAAGCCAATCGAAATAAAGGATTTCCTTTGAAATTTGAAAGAACAACAGTGATTCGTGGACTTTCCCGCGCTTCCTTGAAACAGAAACGATTTCGCAACGAGCGATTGGCTCGCAAACGTTCCGCGCGTAAAATTATGAACTCCTGTCTTTGTTTCGCTTGCGACGGACAGTTCATGTTCCGATGCCCGCGCGCCGCAAGCCATCGAGCAAGCTTGTTAAACAACTCGTTGAGCCACTGAAGCATCGAATCGACTAACTTTATCTACTTCCTGAAAAAAGAATTCTTCCAAATGGATTAATCTTGAGAAATACTACTACTCTAGAAAAACTTACAAACATCGACACATTCGATTTGAAGAGGAAATATAATACTTATATATTTCTTTACACTTATTTATCTCGTGAATTTTCTTCATTTCAATTATCGAGGTTCTATTTATAGAAAAATACAAACTTCACATTCGAGAGATGTGAAACATTCCCAGTGACCAATGAGATACAACGATTTACATAATTACAGATACAACGAATTTGTGTTAGATTTGAAAAAGAAAACAGTATACAGTTTGATTGCACGTTTCAAAATTGTTTAGACCGACGCTTGAAGGGCTCACGGTGTTGCTCGAGCCGCGGCGAGCGGCGTATTGAGCGTACAATGTCGTAATTATAATATTACGATGTTTAACTGTGATACTTATGTAGTCTCGAACAATTTCTATAGGAAAAGAGACTGCGAACGCATGCTTATCCATACTACAACCACTTCGATATCAAACAGGTAGGAAACCGGCTGCTAGAGTTTACTGCACTACGATTAGTTCTCGTTCGATACGGTGAAAATCGCGATGATAAAACGTGCAAAATGTTACGGGCGCGGTCCGAATAAAAACCAACGCGTCCGGGAACGTAGAAAATAGTCGTCGTTCTAAAAACAACGAATCACCGATCTTAAGGAAAGGACGAAGTTAACCATTGACTCGGGAACATAAGTTAACCCTTAAATGGTATACCCGAGGAGCACAATTGAGCCGTTCATTTATCAAATTGATCGATTCCGCGAAACGAGAGCGCGACAAATTTCATGAAATATCGTGCATCATAGAATACCTATCGAGTGTTGTCAACACTGAAATTTTGGTAACGTATAAAAATTGGAGTCAGTCTCACTTTGACCACCGAATGACTCAATTGTCGTTTCTCTTCTTCTACTCTTCTCTAGAAATTTCAATGTCCACCGTGTTACGAACTAATACGTGAGAAAGAGAGAGGGAAGGAGGAAGAGAGAGAGAGAGAGAGAGAGAAAAACAAAAAAAGGAGATGTAAATGAATTCGATATGTAAAAGTACCATTTAACGGTTAATTCACAACACACAGCGTCAGTTATCAAAGTTTTCCTAACGACACACCCCCGCTTCTGTCTCCCTATGATATAAAAAGAATATCCACGCCGCAATACGAGCTCCGAAACTCCGCGACTTACGATCGATCCTCGTTTACATTACAAAAGAAACAGCCTTTAGACTAGATTCGGTTGAATTAAGTATGGTTACGGTTACTCTCACCGTCGTGTCAATCCGCGGCGCGCTTCTCTCCACGCAACACGATACATCCGACTTTACAATGATCGCGCGCCGCTATGCGTTTCAGTCTTCCTACTTCAGCGGCAGAAACACGCGGGAAATCTGTTGCAAAAACAATCGGTGGCGACTTCTTTGGTGAACCTTCCTAAAATTAAAATTCGATATGCGTGAAATCCATACGACGAATAATCATTGAGCCGAATAGATCTCTGAAACTCGCGTTAATTTCTATATTTACACATTTGAATCAGACGGCACCGTCGTGTTCGAGAGGTTACAATACTTCAAAGGGCGAACTAACAGAAACATCGTTCTGGAGATCACATTCGCTGACACTTTTTCTAATAATCGAAAGAAACGCGACTCTGAGATATCCCACGGGAAAGTGACGTGAAGTGTTACTTACACCTATCGCTACGCCCTTCGAAATAATGTCACTATCCAGAAAAATGTCCTCGTGGAAGCAAACATAGAAATAATCAGATACCACCGTCACCTATTCCTGCACGAGAACAAAGAATCACAACGTTCACAAAGAAAGAAATCAATCTCTCATTCATCTCTACCGTTGCGAACCACAAAACCAATCGCGTCCGAATAACGCCCCGCATCTTCAAGCCTGTGAAAGCGGAAGACCCCGTAACGACCACTAATTACACACATCCTCCGCTGTCCCTCGGCAAAGAAATGCTCAAAAATCCTCAAAAATCCTCCGAACCGACAAAATCAGATCCACGAACACCGAGAAGAATCAGGCACCGATCGACCTTCGAAGCGAATTTCGAAGTCCGTCATCGATTCTGTCCGAGCTAGATCCTTCTCCCTCGCGATCTCTCACCGGGTACCCTTGGCACGGGATCAGGAAACGGGATCTCTCCCGGTTTCGGTATAAAAAACATTGTCCGACCAAGCGACACGATGACGATCCGTTTCAGCAAGTAGCTGGCCCGGCGGTCTACTTGATGTTGTGCACGGAGAGCAGGTGCTTGAGGAACGACGCCTCGATCCTCGATCTGTAGGGGCAGTACTGGCAGGAGAAGTGGGTCTCGAACGTGACCATGCCGCAGCCCATCTTCAGGTGTTTCCTCAGATTCGACGCCCACGAGTACATTTGCCCGCAACGGGGGCAAACGTGGAGACGTGGCCTCACGATCGGGAACAAAGGCGCATCTGGAAAGAAATATCGGTTAAGGGACTCGATTGAAGCAAGTTCCAACGATCAGGTGGTCACTTCGATCCACAACGATCGACATGACGTTGTCTCTTTGGCTTTTCTTTTGCTTGTTTTCTCTGTCGCTTTTCTTTATCTCTTTCGATTCTGATGCGATGAGGAGGGAGATACGAAAAGAAAAAAACTGTGGGACTCGCACTGGGAATAGCTTCTAGTACACCGAAGCGCATGCGTTGCCGTTTTACGTGTTTCCTCAGAGGTGCACGACGATCAGGAGACCTCGTCGGACCGTTTCTGCGCTCTTCGAGTTACCCGCCGCTGTTTAATGCCACGGAGCTCCAGAGAATGAATAATGTAAGACAGATTTTCGTTGTAATCGTTCGGAGGATGTTTCTATTATTGAAACTTTTGGTTAATAACGCAATTGTGCCACCACCGTCGCGCTTCAAACTTGATCCTGCAGGCAGTGGCACAGTTTGTGCTTTATCAACTGTAGGTTCAAACGATAAAAACTCTTTTGAATGATGTAGAACGAAAATGCGACTCGCACTGATTAACTTCTGAGCACTGTGTACAGTGTATACCGTTACATCAGTTATGATTTCTCGAATTTCCTGGCGACCATTACTCGAAAAGTGCATCTACTCGGTTCTCGAGCAGCTAGAACACAACGATGCGAAACACACCTGTACTCGTGCACGCGAATACTTACGGATCGAAGTCCCTGGACCTTCTTCCGGTTACTTGGCCTAATTAAGTGTCTGAAAAGATGGCTCGTTACCAGAATTGGACATCACTCGGATAATTATATGATCGGGATAGGACGAAATTCTTGTTATTCGAATATTTCATTCGGACAACCATTGCTCGCAGGGAATTATTTCATCGATCCGTTCGAATAATTCATCCCCGCTTATTCGAACAATCGATTCGAACATTTCGAAATTTCATTACAAATATCGTCAATTTATAGTCCAATTTATTCGAATAACGGTGATCACGATTCCGGGTGAATATGCACTGCGAACATTCGTTTACCACCGAGAATAAGAATTTTATTCGAAAGAAGTACACGAATGCCATTCGTTTGCTGTTCGAATGAAATTTATCCGAACACTGTTGATCACGATGATTCGATAATGGGAAACGTGTTCGAAAACAGGTGAAATACGTTTTATTGCGCACTCGTTCGATCGTACATGTCGAAGGGGCAGGGATCAATGGATAACACAGGCGTTTAATAATCCGACCAAACGATTTGGTGTTTACAGAGCAAGTGTCTCTTCAAGTTCCCTTTGAAGTAGGACTTGTAGTCGCACAACGTGCAGCAGAAACCCGGTGGCTTGCCGCAGGCCATTCTCTGGTGGTGTCTGAGGCTCGTCGGCCAGAAGAACCTTCGCCGGCACCACTCGCAGATGTACCTGCCACCTAAAACAAAATGATTAGTCAGTGGATGGAGGCAGAAGAAAAGTGTCCCATTTCCTGTCGGCTCGTGTCGGTGATCGATCGATCGCGCGCTTCACGCTTTCTTGTTCTAGCAATAATTTCTTTTCGTTACAGGCTTGATGCTCGGTCCAGACGCGTCCTGCTCGATGCGGCAGGTAAGTATCGACGCGTATGTACAACACCTAAACTTTATTTCAGTCTCAAAGAAAAGGAAAGATGGTGTATTCTGATTTATAAAATAGACGGCACGCGAAGTATCGTTAAGGTTGCCTTAAGCGTTGATAATACACTAACGAAGGAAACAAAGATACACGCGTTGTTTCGACACGCCAGTATTTTCGCGTAGATAATATTTGCAGCTTGATCCTTTAGAAGATCGTGAAATAATGTTTCACGTTGGGAAACATCGTTGTCGAAGTACTTACAGAGGTATTCTTTGTTATTCGTATCGTTGCTGGAATCGCGTTGATTCGGAAATTAACGCGTCAATGCATATGTACACATCGCTGTATCATACATGAAATTTCGAAAACTTACGAACAAATCTACAAGACAGTAGAGAAGGTGTCGAGAACTTTTACTTGACACGAATCGTGCGGTGCAATTTGCTCGGATCAAAACAAGACGGACAAACAGGAAGGTATTCACCAAAGACGCGGGAGCAGCGCAACTTCTTCCACACCTATTGATGAAAAACAAACAAAATATACAGAACACTGTCGTAAAAACTGAAATCCATCTAATTACACGGATCACCCCATCCGATTGCCAGCTTTACAGATGAAAACGGAACGGAAGGGAAATGTTCCATAATCAAGGTAATCGAAAAGCGTTTCGTCATTATTGATTATTTTAACAGTAAAAGGGTTGAAGACATTACCGACCTGCAGGATCGACGAGAGCTTCACGAACTCTATAAATTATATTGAAAAATGTACATGTTTAACAATTTCACTAGAAGAAGGTAATGCAACTAATACGTCGACGAAGAGGTTAGCAACGTCCTGGGAACCGGTTATCCAAAGTGAATCCGAAGGATGTGCTTCTGCAAGCTGCTCTTGTACTTCGTCCTGTGGGGACAGTACGGACAGCACTCCTTAGGGTCTTTACCGCACTCGATCTTCAGGTGGTTCTTCATGTTCCTGAGCCAGCGGTAACCTTTGTTGCACCTCGGACACCTGAAGCAGCCAGGTCTCCTATCCAGGCAGCTGCTGGACCTCTGCGGTATCTTCAAGCTATCCGAAGTCAACGGCGGCTTGTGCTGGTTATTCGTTCTCGTGTAATAATGATAACCCGACCAGGGCAAATCTGGAAAAAGAGGAAATATCACATTTTCCGGTTAGAGCGTGAATCTTTGCCACTTTACGGTCACAGGGAATGAAAACGCCCTTCGTAGTTCTGTACAAGGTGGTTCGAATCTAACGGCCGGATGCTCGAGATAGGTCACAAATATAAAAAAATGGCGTAGTACACGCGGAGAATTTTAAAATCCATATTTCTTGTGACATTCAGATTTATAATAAAAATATAAATTTCATGTTTCTGATCGGTATAGGCAATTGGAATAATGTATATTCCCACGTTGGATTTTTCATGATTTCGAACGTTGAACATAGAGCAAGATTTTCTATGATAAGCGAAATCAGTTTGTGATTTGAATCGCCTTGTACATCGGCTGTAATCTCGTCAATAATCCACAACGAGTGGAGAACTGAACGTCGAACACAAAGGAGGTACGGATCAAGAATTCAATCAATCACTCGTTGGAATATGTACGTCCAAGTGGTTTACAAACGTTGCTCTTTATTTTCTCGATCAATTTGGCACACGCTTACAGGCTCGCGGGTTACACGTGATTAATGTGATCGCAGGTTGGGCGGGAGCGGGTGATCGGTTTTATTCAATGGGAAAGAAAATTTGGAGCAGCTAGGTCTACCATATTGCGTTACAAGGTTCCGTTTTAAAACATTTCGGGAAATTTCTCTATGCTTCGATATTTCTTCTATTGATTTATAGATCGATGAGGAACAACGGAGGATTACTGTGACGTTAGTAAGTTTGTTCTTTGTTTTCGGTGACCATGGCTGTGAAAGAAAGTGGAAGGGACATCGGTGATTCGACGGAGATCAATAGACTAGTATCAGGGCACCACTTGTGATTGGAAATATACACGGTGTCTCTGAAGGAGGTCACAATGTGATTCTATCAATTACAGAGATAAAAATTGTCTAGTGTCAGTAGAACGTTCAAAGAAATCCTACAGATGCAATTGACTAATGTTAACGACACTCAAATGAAGAGTTTCCACTTAAAGATTCTTTCACCCGATTGCGTGTCTTTAAGTGTACTTGCGTGGTTTATTTAAGACTACGAGTCAACATAAAAAGATGAAACTTTTGTTAATCATTTTAACGAGGCCGAATTCCTTTTATGCGATCCTCTCATTAAAATTGACTAAAATAAAATAAATCATTGCACTTTAAACGAAAAATAGTATTCGCCTTAAAAAAGATCCACTTGTTCTAAAGAAATCTCGATAATATAAAATACGCAAGAATACAACAAAATCGCATTGTGTTATCATTTATCAAACACATTTATGTTCAGGTTACGTTATCTATAACGTAAACATATTTCGTTCAACGAACTCCTCGAATTCCGAGTGGTACATACGAGAAATCTAGTTCGCTGATGGACGTGTTAATAACGGGGTATGGATTAACATCGAGGCACCACTGCAATTCCAAGTATACAGAACGTCGCCCCAAAAAAGGGGGGTCAGTGTATTTCTATCAACGTCCATGGCGATATACTTTCTCTCTAAGCCACGACGGATCTCCGAAAGTTAATTACAACGAAGGAAATCCCTTGCTTCACGTGCAACGAATTCCTATTAACGTAAATTCCGTATTCGCGTTCGATACGGAGCAAGATACTCTATCTTCGCTCTGAGTTCTGTCCACGTGGAATGAAGCTCCCCTATAAACGGATGGCAATCCACGGAAACGACGTCTCGCAGAAGGAAAGAACCAAAATACTCTTCGTCTAGAAAGCGTTCACATGGCAGAACGAGAGAACGAATTTCGGCCGCGAGTGACTCGGATCTGAGATGCATCCTAAATGCTGCTGGAGAACACGTTCTTTCCCGGGTGATTGGTTCTAATGTGCTGGTAGAGATTCCCTCGCTGCTTGGTCCTGTGAATGCAATACGGACACTTGAACTGCGGCTCCTTGCCGCACTCGTGTCTCGTGTGTCGGACCAAGGTGGCGCGGTGTTGATAGCCTTTGCCGCAGGTCTCGCAACGGTAAGGGAAATCCACGCGTTTCGCCATCCAGAAGCTGGCCAGGTCCTTGATCAACGGCATCATCGGATAGTTGCAATCTCTCTGGTATCCCTTCGGCATCGGCATACACGGGATCGGCGCTAACTCTGCAACGAGAAAGAAAACGAAAAAGGGGTATGTTAGTAGTCGATCAAAAGGATACGAACTCTTCTTATTCGGGGGGTGCTTTTGTTTTTTGTTTTGTTTGGTTGTCAGTGAAGAAACCCAAAAACGATCGGTAAAATTATTCTTTAATCCACGAGACTTTGAGAACGTACACAGGATTCGGTGTCCTTACACGATCTGTGTTGGCTTTGAACGATCAGGAACGTCGGAAGATTAACCCCCGGGAATTACGGTGAATTCGGGGGTGGGAGTGGACTTCTCGAAACCTGAAAAAGTTATATCTTTGTCAGAGTATGGGGAATTTGTTGTGTTCCGAACGTTTATTTGTTAGTGGGTGAAACGTAGGATGGAATGTTTAGTTTGGGAATGATGTCTTTTCGGTCCCCCTTTTGGTTTCAATATTATGCAGCTGTGTCTCGATTGAAAAGATTTTCGAAGGAACTTTTTTAGAGGGAATTCAAGGGACTTTTCCACGGGAGAATTTTTAGAAAAAGAGGGTTATCGTGGTTTTTCTACGTAGACGATTGTCGCGAGTAATGTCTGTTTTTCAGTTCGCAGATGGGATTATTGGAACCTCGTATCTTGTCGATTTGTAATTATCATTCTATTCTGGTAATTCTTTGTAACTCACTCACGGTGAATTTGTGCAAACACGTGGAAGAATAAGAGTTTCCTGTGCTGTCTGCAAACTTTTCGTGATAAAATTACAAAAATCAGCTTACCCTGCGTCCCCGATGGAATTCAACCTCTGACTGGAAAATAAAATCAAGGAAGCCACGTTCTCAAATCTGTTTCAGATCAAATGAAAATATCAACTGTAAACTATAGCTACTGTTAATAATAGAAAACCTTGAACTACAGTGGAACGCTTCAAGCTTCAATCGCAAAACAATAAATACAGAACATCGAATATTCGAAAGAACCTTAAAAATTGAAAATATATTAAAACATCTCAAACATCTCAACGAAACGAACCCCGGGATTCTCAGAGGCCAGGAAACCAACTGTTCTATCATCAGCAACAATAAGGAAACGGGGAGTGTCAGCAGCCAACCAGAAAAATACGGACACTTCGTATTCAAGGGTGGTTTTATTCAGTCAATTAGGTTAAGTTCAAATCGGTCGTTAACGTCCATCTTGAATCACGACTTGGGTCATAAAGATATAATCCTATCCCGACTTCCTTCGATCGTCATGATGGCCAACGTGTTACATTCACGAGAAGGATGCGTTTTATCCAGAGAAAAGAGAGGATTGTAAGAAAATATCGGTAGGTCGAAGACTAGATTAATTCCCGGCCATGTTGTAGACTTCGAGGACCGCGGTGCGTAGCGACGGATGACTGTTCCGAATGTGCCGGTGGATCATTTCAGCGGTGTTAGCGGACGTGTCGCAGTACGGACACATCTTCTTGGGCACGAAGCCGCAGACGGTCTTCATGTGGGCTCGTAGATCGTGCAGCTGGTCAAACTTCATGGTGCACTTCGGGCACAAATTCGACGTGGCCGAGATATCGATGCCTCTCAAGCAATGGTTGCGCCCGGATCTGCAAGCTCTGCGCAGCAATCTCGCCCCGCCACCTGAACGCGGACCTGAAACCCAACAGATCAATTAGAACCTGAATTTCCATTATTCCAGGGAAGACCAACGAACCTGTACAGATTCTAACAAAGCCGGAGAAAGACGTACAATCCACAAAGTTGCGTTTCATACTTAACAATCACGTATCTCGCTACGCAAACAATAGGGGACGGTCGTATTTGTATTTTCGATAACAGTACATTCCAGAGGAGAAAAAGGCGCAACGTTTACTTTCGCAGCGTGAAGATTCGTTACTGCCGATCGTGATTCGTTCGTCAATAAGAAAAATCGGGTCGACAGCCGACCCAGTCATTGGCGATACGGAATCTGAAGGGGGATGATTCAATTAGAACACAAGAGATCATGCGCACGTGTTGTTTTCACAGATTGTTTTCTTCTTTCCTTAGAATTTATTCCGTGTAATATTCTCTTATCCACGTACAATATAATTCCGGTAACAGAACGGGTTAATAGAAAACGAGAGGTTTAAGTAAAATAATCTTCGAATACTCTATAACATCGGTCCCCGACGAGTCTTGATCGGTGAACACGCGAATCCGTGTGTATCTTGTCCATAACACTTGATTCACGCACAGCGAGGCGAATGACACATTGTACGATATTCAACGCACAGAATTCGATTCGTCGCTTTCGGTTACGCGTGTCGACGTTAAACCATGCTGTCCTGTGATAGAGGGCTCTTGTTCTGTTTGCGCTGCCTCCGTTCGTCATTGCTGTAGCCCGTTTTTTGACACGATCTCGGATACACTAACAGTCGTGATTAGACTGGGAAATTTCAGGAGTTTCCACGTGGAAATCTATAAGACTATGAAAAATAAAATTTAACGATATTCAAGATATCCATTTTATTTTTCATTCGTCGGAATTGTTTTAAGAGGAGATTGGATTTCATTGAATCACGATTTCATTGGAGTAGGAATTTTCACAGTCTAACCGTAACAACTGTATTACTCACTGCAGTCACTGACATATTCGCGTTTGGGTGACAAAAGTTGAGTGAATACTTAACGTGACTGTTAGCGTATCTTATATTTCCTTTCTTCATCTGAAGACCATCTGCAGATCACATCTAAATGAAGTATTGTAAGTATTTGTTCTCTTCAAATGTGTGATAAGCACCTGAAAGATGAGAAAAAACTTTCACAATTTACCCTGACAATCCTAAACGTTTCTGTCATTTCTCGCATAGAAGCAAGTTGCAAATAAAATTTGAATCGTATAACCAAACAAATTTCACTTGTAACTGTTTCAATAACAGAGACATTTGCGACTACCAGGATAACTAAAACACCGTAGCAATACCGATCAGCGAGTAGAAGAATAAAAGGTCTTTCCTCAAAAAGCAGACTACAGGAAAAATACTCGAGTAACGACAAGACACAGAGAACGCTGAGAAAAGACGCCGTTTCTCTTGGTTTCTTCAACGGAGGCAGTCGACAAGAGGAATCTTATCCACTAAGAACAAAATTTAAGGATACACGAATATCCAAACGTCGTTTCGAACGGGAGCCGAAACACATAATACCGTCAGGTACTCGCATTCGCAGCCAGAAACTCATTCGGAACCTGATATTCGATTCAAGACATAATTCTTCGTTCGATATCCATGCAAGTTCAGTTGAAAAAATGATCTCCCAAATCGAGTATCGTGTTCCGAATGAGTTTCAGCTTCCGAAATCACTGGCACCGGAGTGAGTTACGTATTTCAGGAGCCGCCTAGTCCGATCTCGAAGCATTAGCTTCAGAAATGTCGGATATCCGCGCACTCGTAAGCCAAGTTCGAACAGCACGGACGTGGACAGCACGCAGAAAACGGCTCTAACAGGAACAGTGATGAGCGCGCAGGTATCTTTGCTCTGTCTTGGATTAATTCAGATCGATCACGTAAACGTTCTGTCCGCGATGGCACTGTCGGATGTGTCTGTACACGTGGCCGCGTTGCTTCATCCTCGCCGCGCAGTACGGGCACTGGACCTTCGGCTCCTGTCCACACTCGAACTTCGTGTGCCTCTTCAGGTGCCACGCGTGGATGTAGCTCTTTGAACACCTGGAGCACGTGTGCCTCTCGATGTCGCGCAGCGCGTTGCTCCGCCGTCTCCTCGAGCTCAACGGCTTCTCTTCCTCGTAGTCGAAGTCCTTCGCCTCTTCCATCACCACCGAGCACAGGTTCTCCAGGTCAGTCTCGATCTTGATCCTCTTGATGTCTAAAACGAAAAAGAGAAAACGAACGGGCAATTAGTCGGGCTATCGAGGGATGCGCGCGAGGCCTCCACGGGCAGTGGATCGCGGGAGACGGATTTTTTCAGAGACACGAGACGTATCTTAGCGCTCGCGTTTCCGTTCGAGTCACCTGCCCGTCGTTGTGACGTTATTTCGTTATGTCTCGCACGCAGCTAAAAGTAGAGCGAAGGCGATGATCGGGATCGAACGTGGTTGCGCTGCCGATGGAATTAGTCTTCGGGGATGTCGCGCATGAAAGTTCAGTGAAAGTCGCGCGAAGGGCTCGCGAACATTGTACGCTGTTAGGTATAGTCTAGTCGTTTCGCTATTGGCGCGTAAGTGGGGCTTGCACGCGCTTCGCTGTCCCATTAGCGGCGCTGTCCCCTCCATTCAGAGTTTCTATCAATCCACTTCATCGAAGTAGTGGTTCTCATCGCGCGAATTAAACGGCGACTCTGAACAATATTCTGAGAGATCGTACATTTTTGATAGATTTTCACGTTTCTGAGGAAACATTTGAAAATGTACGAACATTTCCCGAAGAATGTCCGGGTACTGGATGTATCCATAAAAAAGATACTTGTATTTCCCTCATTAGACTGTACAACATAAAATGACAGATATGAACGACTAATCTCCTCGACTTTTCCACGAAAGAGCAGACGCTCTTAGCAAACTGAAACGAAGGCCACTTTAAAATTCCTATAACTTCCACCTTCACCGTGGACATCTCCAGCAATAACGAAACGCGCGAGCGTTACACCCGACAGCGTACACCGTTTTCTTGAGGAAACGTCGCGAATGGGTGCTCTAGAAACCAGGTAGGATCGTAGGAATGCTTTTATTCGATCACATGTACAATTGACAACAGAACCGTGGCGACCGGCGTCGTTCGAGAAATTATATACAAAAATAATACAGCATGACAACGATCAAGGTGTGGATCAGGCGGTGGGTTCGTTCGACAAGGAGAGGGGAGAGAATAAGATCAGCCCGCAGGAACCATCGCAACGTCACTGGTGGCTGACTCGTGGGTCTACATCAGAGATCCCCATTTTCGACGTGAACTGAATTACACGTATACACATATCTCTGTATACATCTCGCTCGAGATATCTTCTCCGTGATACGTG